GAGTGCTTGGCGATACGATCGTGCAGTCTCACTCCATCCCCAGAAGGCAAATGAATATTATCTTTATAAAGAGAGATAAAGCAGACTAGACAAAGGCCTGGAATAACTTAGTTAAGTTTATCAGAAAAGCCAACAGCACGACCAGGATTTATGCCCAGGAATTAAGATTCTCAAACCGCTTGGAGAAGGAGATGTCTGTCCTTAGCACAGCTTGCGTTGGCACCACGAAACGTCGTCTCAAAGAGGAGCAACTCTTCCCTCAGCAAAGGAAAGGTGACACAGAGCGGCGGCGAAGAGACTTCAAGGGGACTTGAAAGGCGCATCGGCTCCCGGGGGAGGCGGGGGCCGTGGGCTGGAGTGGGACCCCAGGCACCCCGAGCTGCCCCGGCTCTGCCGCTTGACGCATCCCGAGATCTTGGGCAAGCGCTGTCGCGCTGGCCTGGCTTTAGCCGCAACAACAAAATCGGATCCCAAGTTGCTTTTATGCACCCAGAAGAGCAGGGGAAGCAGCAACATTAATGCATCCAGGAGCTACCTATGGCCATTGAAATGGGGGGTCACAAGCGTAAAGGCTTGGCTGACTCATGGACCTCGTTAAAGTCGTAATAATCTCGATAAAGGTGCGGCGTTGCACATAGGCAGCCCTAGCCCGTCCGAGCTAAAGCTCAGCGAAGGCTCTATTAGCCTTTCGATAGTTCGGGCATGAAACCGTAAGATGCGTTTGTGTTGTGAAAGCACTTAGGTCAGGATTCCCTCCGCAAGGCTGAGCCTTGGCAGTTTGGTTTAGGAACAAAAGGGCCAGGCTTGACCTGGCAAGGGATGTTTTGGTAGCTGCGATGTTGCCGGCAACCCGGGGAGCTGTGCTGGAGACTTGGGGGGACGCGAAAAACAGGAGCAACAAAAATCTAAACGCTTTGAGCTTCCGATGCCCTCCAAGCAAACCATTATACGCTCACCCAGCTGCAGGAACTTCAGTATCACCAGCCTAAAAACTTGGAAAAGAAAACCTGAGATGAACTGTAAAGTGAGCTTGATGTAGGAATCGTGAAATCTAACACAAATTGAGGTTTATATTGGCATTGTGATGACTAAGCCTCTAGAAATCCCATTTTCTTGGGGTTTTTTGTGATTAAGCCAATGGTTTATTTTTCTGGAAGCTGAAGTTCTCGAGTAACCAAGCAGCTCTGATTGCTGCCGCTCTGGGAACTGCTCCAAATATTGCCAAATTCTGGTGAAAACCTCAAAGGTCGGAAACTCTGCAGTATAAAGAACATCTCACCTCAAGTAGGGCTCTTGTGACAATAACCTTTCGTTGCTCATGGATTTGTACTGAAGCTTTTCACGAACCAACTTTCTTCTCGTTCGAGATCTTTGCGTCTGGCTGGAACCTGCTAAAAATGCTTATGTTTGGAAAAAACCTGACTGACACCAAGTTGAGGAAAATTGATGCCTTGGAGGTGAGAAGGATCCGGTTGTGCCATCCTTGCATTAAATGGTACCTTCCTGTGAGATTTGTCCTTTCCGAAATCCTGGAGTAATGCATTAGCACGTTTTGGAGGTGATAGCTGGCCATGAGAGTCTCATTGGGATCAGAGGCCGCTGCTGGTTTTTTTGGATACGGTAAATAGGAAACAGTAGAAAAACAAAGTCTGATTGACTGGAAGATTACAAAGGGGGAAGAGGTCCCAAGTAACCTACAGAGAGATGGATTTAGGATTATTTGAGGTTGATTACACCAAATTAATTTTTACTAGGTAGGGCAAAATCAACAAAGGAGCACTTGGACTTTGCAGAGTTGAGCAAATGATCTTAATGGGAGAATTACTCAAATATTCAACAGCATTTTAAGGAAGATGGTGGGATTCTCATCACATCAGTCAAAGCCGGAGGAGGCAGAAGCGGTGGGATCCACCACCCTGGAACGGCGAGCAGTGTCAGGACTGGGGAGATGCGTCAGGGTGGTTGTATTCCTGCAGAAACTCCTGTCGGCTCCTGATTTTTTTCCGACTCCTCCGATCCCAGTTCTGGGGACCCCGGATCGACCGGTCCCCACCAGCTCTAATGGGTGGCTGGGGGCTGCTGACTGAGTTTGGTGGGAGGGTGGAACAGGCTGCTCGGGGAAGCTGGTTTCTACATGTGCAGAAGCAGAGGTCAGCTCGATTGGGAGACTCATGAAATTTAAATCCGGAGGATTTTGTGGGGAAGAGGAAAAAGTATTAACAAACTAAAGAGAGCAAATTTACTGGAGATGGAGAACATCCACTGTGTAGCTGTAGATGACAGCGGTAAGTAGTTCCCATCAGGGCTTTTCCTGCTTTGGAGACAAAGAGATCGTCCGTCCACTGAGCTATCAAAGATGATAAGGGGCTGCATTTTATAAACGGAGATAGGCTCTAATTGCAAAAATGCCTGCGAATACTTCTGTGGCACTTTGCTGAACGCTGGTGTCACGGCGGATTTTTGAAGTCTGCTCTCCACAGTCATTACATGCTGCTTCATTTGCAATGAAGTTTGCAACTCGTGGAACTTCATTTGGATAAATACTAGCTCCCCCCACCCCCAGGTCTATTTTATGTCCATCTACTCTAATGGGGAAAGAAATTAAGCCGTGGTTCCTTGTGTAATGTTGCAGCAGAGGCAGTCGCAGGGATTTAACTGCTCCGCTCGAAAAGCAGAAACGACTCGGTGGCCAACCTCCACCGCGCAACGCAGCAGAAGCAACACCCCGCGGAGCAAATACTCGTAAGCTGTAAACCGAACGCATTCAAGCACACCTTGACTTAGTCTCTTAACGAGGGAAATTTTACCAAATGAGTTGGTGCAAAGGCTCTCCCTTGCACCTCACTGTAGCAGGGGGTGAGGGGGGGGTTAAGGGTGGATTTAGGGTGCGGGGATTTTTTTCTCTTGTATTGTTTGCCCTCCAGCTCAGCGAAATCCTTCTTTTCTGAGCATGGGTTGTGACTCCCTAGCAGGAATCCTCTTCTCCCAAGCCCGAATAATGGCCCGTCCTGGTCTCCCTAGTAACTGCGGCTGCCACATCACTTTTGACAATGGTGCATCCTTTGTAGCCCGGTTCTCTGCTCCTGCTGCCTGCTCTGTTTCTTCAAATGGCAATTGTCTGAAATTTCTCCAAATGAGCAACTTTTGTGTGTGGTGGTTTTGTTTATTTTGTCTGTGCTGGCAGAAAAGGGATTTAACGTGTCTTTTTGTGTTCCTTCCTTAAAGCAAGCGTGAACCCTTGGGGAACATACTTTTGTGAGACAACTCATGGTCGGGTTTTTTTCCCCCCCAATTCCAAATATTGCTCCCGTTATTTTCTGAAACTGTGCTCTCAAAGCATTTTAAACTTTCTGTTCTCTGAGTAAAAGTCTTCTCATTGATTATTGCACTAAAAGGTTTTCTTTGCTCGATGTATTTTGGATCCGTCTAAAGGTAAAAGTGCATATAATGAAACTTCGCCAGCAGCCAGCAAACCTCTCTCCAAGCTCTAGAGAAGGAATTTGACGCGTGAAGGCTGAAGCATAAAACCTGCTCTCGTGGTAATACCTGCTTCGTAACTCTGTTGGGGTTTTGTTGGCGTAAAGGATTTTTTGGAGCTGCCCTGCTGCTCTGGGTATGGGGAGGTTTAGGGGGAAAGGAAGGGCTGGGGGCAGAAGCTGGGTTTTTTGGTTTCCTCTGTAGGAGGGAATGTCTCCACAGAAGTGGGAGCCTCAAGGTTGGATGTATGGGGAAGGCGAGTAGGTTGGGAATATTCATCAGTGCTGCAGGATGAGCCTATGCACGAGCAACAGCAACCAAGCGCACGGGTGAAAGTCCGAGTCCTGGCAGACCCCAAAGCTGGACCCAACGTCCAGTTACTAGAAGGGGCGAGTTCAGAAGCATCTGAACGGAGCCGAATTTGGGCGCAAGTCATGGCGATGCCCTGTGCCTCATTCGCAACCCCGCCGGTCTATTTTCCTTCTCCTTCGAGGAGACTGAGATTGCTTTCAGTAAAAACACTGGACCTGCCTCAGTGCCACTGTGAAAACTTTATTCTCTCTCTCAAGGACAGCATTGTTGGTGGTCATGTTTGGTGGGGTTTTTTTCCTTCAAAGTAAATTAAATGCTACAGTCAGAGCCCCACTTCACAGACACGTATGGACGCGGGCACGCACCTTTGCGCCGAGGAACAGCAGCGCTGGGAGCTGAACGTGGCTGGGCAAGGGTGGGAGTGGGCGCTGGGGAGCTGGCGGTGGTACGAAGCACGGGTGGGATGAAGGGGAAGTGCATGAATCACAGCGTGTCAGGGGAAACACATGAATCATATAATGTGTCAGCAGATTTGACAGATCCACCAGGACTTCTCTGCCGGCAGAGCCACAGTTTCAAGTCCCCAAAACCGCCCCATGCTGTGGTGGGAAGATCTCTCCCTGCCCCCCCCACCCGTCCCGACTCCCGCTTTCCGTCCCAGCAGCCCTTTGCATCCCGACGTGGGAAAACTCGGCTCCAGCTCCCGCCGCTGCAGAATTCAGACGTGGGGGAGATGATGTGGCTGCCCATGGATGTCTTGCAGCCATGGAGGGCATCTCCCCCCCGAGGTCTTCCTCTGGCTCCAGGCTGTGTAAGCCTGCTTCTGGAGCCTTCTTTGCCTGGTCTCCAACCTTTTAGGACCATGTGGCCTAGATCCAGGCAAATCCATTATTGCACTGAGAAACACGAGTCCTGACTGTGGCTTTATGTCCTATTTTCTGTATCCTAGATTCAGACCCTGCCTTCACGTACCAGTCTCTAAAGACCACAGATCCAGGCCAGGTTTAGCGATGCCGGTACCCCATAGCCTAAAATTCTTCTCTTGATATTGGAGCTTTTGGTGAAAATGGAAAATCCTCCTCTTCCTTCCTTGCTTCTGGTTTCCAGGGACCGCTGCGCTCCCGCCCACACTTACAAAACCATCCCTGTCCCTCCCCCCGCCCCCCCAGCACCCGCTCATCACCGGGGCATCCTGAGATGGGCAGAGCGCGTCATCCTGAGGGGTAGTAGGGTACGTCGCTGTGATAGTTGTAGTCGGGACACACTTTCTGCACCAGCCTGTAGTCTATGCTGTAGAAGGTGATATAGATGCAGATGACTTTGAAGGGCTTCGAGCAGACCCAGGAGACGTGACTTTGGGTGTGCTCGTGGTAGCAGGTCTTAGATGGGTCGTAAGTGCAGAGCGTGGTCTTCTTGGCACGATCCACTTTCTCGTACTCCACCCGGCAGTTGAAGATTTTGGATTCTTTGGCCTCGATGAAGATCTGTTGCTCCAGGTCAAACTCCACTGCCTTGGTGGGGGGGACGAGGCTGACGGAGATGTTCCCCTGCCCAGTAGAGTTGTGTCGAAAGAAGACGTTGACTGTGCCGTTGCCGTGATCAACCACCTTTCCGGTGATCAAGAGGTTCAACTTCACCGTCTTGATATTGGAATAGAAATCTCCCCAGCCAAAAATTTTTTTAAGCTTGCCTGAGGCTGGCCCCAAGTCCCTTTGTCCTCTGGGGTGTGGAGCATGGTCCCGCTCGGACAGGTTGTCCAGGATATCCCATAGCTCCTGTGAGCTGCTCACCAGCTCCAGAAGTGTCATGTTCTGCAGTAAGGTTGGAGTTAACAGGGACTGTGGAGAGAGCAGCCCTCTCGTCTTCTGCACTTGAGCTTTTTCCTGGGTCTTGGGTTCACGTTGCTCTGCACCTTTCCCTGGTTCTTCTTGGCCCCAGATCACCTGAACATAGTGATGGTGGAGAGAGAGAGAGATGGGTGATGGGTGCCTGCCCTCTTTACCCCGTCTCGCTCTCCAGAGTCACCCCGCTTCTCCAGACGTGACCCAGCCATCGTCTTTCCCATCCTTGCTTTCCTTATTTCCCTTTTCTCTTGCCTTTCCTCTCTACTTCTCTCTGTAGTTCGTATTTCCCTTCTGGCAGCAGTTTTCCCCTCCTCTCACTCTCCTCTCCTGGCTGCTCGGGGAATGGGTGGAAGGAGCCGGGACGGTGCATTTTGCTCACTGATGGTGCAGCCTGGCAGCAGCACCTTCTCTCAGGGCAGAGCACTTGCACCCGGGGGACCTCTGCAGATGCTGGGGAGAGGGTGCTATGGGGGGGATGCACACCTGTGACGAGGGTGCCCTCCTTGTGGCCTTCGCACTGGTCTTGCTGCTGACAGCATGTCTCATGGACCCCTCCTCTGCCCTCCGGACTGTGCCATGGGCCGGCGGAGAGATGGAGCCGCGTCTCGTACCAAATCCAAAGCACAGCGCTATACCAGCTGTCAGGAAGGAAAAACAACTCCATCCCAGCCGAAACCAGGACAAGCTGGGAGCAGCGGGGCAGCACGAGGGACAGCAAAGCGCAGAGGTGAGTTCTCACCCCGGGGAGATGCCCTTCGCCTCTAACAGCCGTGCACGGGCTCCTCTGCAAACTCTCCTCCTGCCGGCATGAGGGCTCTGCCTGCAACCAGCCACGGACCCCAAAATAGGCACAGACGGGGACTGGGGGGCTGCCTTGCTGCCAGGCTGTGGGCACCCAACAGGCTGGGAGGGTGCCCGGGTGGGAGGCGGGTTCCACAGCCCCATCGCCCCCGGTGCCAGGCTGCTGAGCAGACTCCCGCCCTGGTCCCTGGGGTGCGAAGGGCTCCCCGGGCAGAGGAGGCAGCGGGGAAGCCGAGGT